TTATAGATACAGACTTATTTATATCACTAGTTATGGCACAATTGCATGTTATTTTATGTTCTAATTTTTTATATAGAACGTAACTAGATGATGTTATAAGTTTGCATCTATATTTGGTATTGCTACTCTACAACCTTAACAATTCCCAAATCCTGCATATATATTTAATTTTTTATTCTGATCTGAGTTTGACGAGTAATCTTTATATTGGGTAAATTCATTAATCTACTTGAGTAACCTGTAAATCTACTTGCAAGTAACTCAGTTTATACTTTTTAAATATTAAGATGATCACTTGGAGGTCTGACATAGTTTATTAACTTCATAGATCAATTATCAAAATATCAAATAGGCACCTCTTAACTTTGTTATATTAATAAGAGTACAATTAATCACACATACAACTTTAGTTATTGTCTAATTAAGAAAGCGTATAAGCAGAGAGAATGAAATATTTGAGCAGAGAGAAACATGCCTTACAAGAGACCGTGATCAAAAATGCCAAAGAAAAGTAACAGAATTAGCAGAACAAAGTGAAGTGCAACTCGCATGTGATCGAGAGCAAAAGTGATAAAAAGCAGCAATGCAAAAAGGCAGAAAATATGATGAAATAGAAATTAGTAGTGAAAATAGTATTAATATTCAGCAAAGTCAAGAACAAAGACAAACTGAAGCTGTAGTATATATTAATTCTTCTCTGAGCATTAATACCAGCAAGTTAAAACAAGACTTTTTGAGGAAATTTTATGAAAAAATAGATGAACTCAAATATACTCTTTGTCTTGTATGCAATAAAAGTTTTCTAGGTATTGTGCTGGTCATGGGAAGCTGTCATCGATGCGCTGCTGAAAAGACTGCTCCAAAAAAATTTTCTGCAGAGAACAATATAGATCTAGAAGAAATTTCCAAAGAACTTCAAGGACTCACAGAAGTTGAGGAAATGTTAATCTCTTAGGTTTTTACTGTAATGTCGGTATACTGACTTCATGGCGGACAATACAGATACCGTGGAAATATAATCAACTTCTCTCAGGATGTACAGGGGTTCATTACTCATCTTCCTCAGTATCCATTGTTAGTAAATGTGCTTATTGTGCATCATCAATCCTTAAATCATAATAGAGTATTTAAAGATTTTCATATTTGACGCTCTAAAGTTACTCATGCATTATACTAGTTAAAAGAAAATAATTAGTACTATTCAAATATTGTCATTGACAATAATATTCTTTAATCATTACTAGAAGATAATTATATTGATAGCCAATTTCCACAGGTTCAAAGTGATCAGAATTCAGAAATAGATGATGATGATATAATTACTCGTATCTTTGTCTCTTCTTTTTCTTCAACATATCATAAGGATGTTGTAATTAATAATACACTAAATCATTTAAGCAATGAAAATTTTCCAATATTATGGCCAACAATTGATAGTAGCCCGATTAACGAATTCCAAACTTCAGGATATATTATATATGCATTTCCAACTTTGTATCTAACTGGCAGTACTGATCTTTGTGCTAAACAGATAAAAGATATCAAACCGGTGGAGTATTTTAAATACTTACTTCGATACAAAGATAGAAGATTTGTATTACACAATCGTTGAAGATACTTTGCGCTTAATAGTCAAATAAGATGGTATGCATTACAAGAAGGAAGTATATATATTAAACAAAATCTGAATGATAAACAGTTCACTGTTGATAATATACAAAATATAATTTCAGAGAATAATACAAACATGTTCAAATGAATTATGCGATTTGACAAAGGTTTACGTAGATTATAGCAGTTTTGGATAACATGAAGTTGTAAGCTAGCGAACATGATAAAACAGATAGGTTTACGAGAATTAGTATTTTTCACATTTGGTGCTGCTGATCTATACTGGCCTGAACTTTATAAGCTTATAAGTTCAAGCGAAAATTATGAAGAAGACACAGAAAAATCAGAGCAACATCGTCAAAACATAATCAATTATCCTCATATTGTTGTCTGGTTTTTCAATAAGTGATTTGAGGCCTTTTTTGATATATTTAAACAGCAATAGGATCTAAAAGATTGGTGGTACAGATTCGAGTAGCAACATTGCGGCAGTGTTCACTTGCATAGAATCAGAAAAAGATGCAATGCATCTTTGATCGATTGGAAGCAAATGAAAGAAAATAAAAAATTGATGAATGATATGGTGCAATATCTTAATAATATAGTCACTACAATAAATCCATGTCTTAATGCACCAATACCTATATGACATCTATATCAAAAACATAATGATGA